TTGTCAATTAATAACATTTTTATAATATTATAAATATTATGTTGCAAAGTGGGCAGAAAGGTTTATGAGATTTTATTGGTTAATGTGGTAAGCAAAAATACTCCCATAGAAATAAAATCCTGTAATTATAATCTATTAAAATCATAAGTAAAATCATGTAATTGCAATCTATTAAAATCATAAGCAAAATCCTATAATTACAAATCCGGTTGAAATCCATTACATTAAAATCATGTAATTACAATCTGTTAAAATCTTAATTGAATACACCCCCCTTCATATATCATGATATTTTTATTTATCCGTAATCAGAATTAAAATAAGGAGTTGCATTCAAAATACACATTATTTATGTGTTTACTAAATATGGAAAATAAAAACACTAGTGAGGAGCCCATAGTATTATGAATTCAATTCCTAATTTTGAAGGAATTAGAATCTTGGGTGGAGAATCATATTGGAATCTTGGGTGGAGAATCATGGTAATCTCATTGTTGGAAAAACAACCCATAATAGTCAATGAGGTCTAGTATAGTGGAAAAAGGTCTTGACTTGCAGATCATAGGTCTCAAGTTCGAATCCTCACGGCATCATAATTGTGTGTGCGTGAGAAATCCCCTTATCCATTGTAGTTTAGACTAAAGTTCGTACTAAAAAAGACATCATCATAAGTTCACATCTTACCCATTATATCATCACATAATTTCTAAAGCTTCAAGGTTACAATTCTCTTTAACCAAGTAAGTCTCATCCCTCAATTATAGATCAGTAAACATGTGATCTATTCTTTAAATCCTAATAATTTGGGTTGGTAATAAACAGTTGGGATAGCTTGGTAATAATTATATAACAGCCCTATTTAGAGGAAACACAGAATCTGCTACAACAATAAGTGGGAATATTGAAGAAAAAGGAGGGTCAAGTTGGTTCGGCTGCACAATCTGGCAAGATATACCCAATAGCTTTTTTCACGCTCGCAATAATACTGCTGGGAGGACAAGCATGCAAGCAAACCACCATGACCTTAAATGTTGGAAGAAATTCAGGAACAACGCTTCTGTAACGCTCACAAGCTGTCTCTCTTAACCACTTGTTCAAACCAAAACCAAAAACAAAAACAAAAGCTTAACTTTACCTTTTTAAATTTTGTATAATTGCTTGCTTTGCCAAGTCACTGCTAGCAGAAAAAGTTTGATCTGTGACTCAAATAAAACCAAACCATCAAGCCTCAACCCACTCAGGCACTTAGAACAGAATCAATACATCACACTCCAAAAGGCCTCTCAATACAAAAGTATCACCCATATCACATTAAATTGCACAAGGGCTATATGCAGCACGAATTCAAACTCAACCAACACAACCACACAGATCAGAAAACAAATACAAGCAGTTTCGGATTCTCTTTGATCGAGCAAAAACTGATTATAAAGCACTTCCTGCATCAAAACTCAACACCATTCCACGCTTACATATTCCATCGATCACAATAGTAGAAACAAGCCACACAAGTCTTACCAATCTAATAGTAGAAACAATCCACAAACTACCTTCAGCTCAGATAATAAAAAATGACCCAAAAAAAGGAGGGGCAAATGATATCAAGGGAAAAATGTAGGAAAAAGTAAACAAGTTCTCAAAGAAGCAAATTACCAAAACTGCAGAAAATGAAGTAGGTGTGTTTCCTGGACAATTGACCTAAATAAGTACAACTTGAATGCCAGCTTTTCTTAAGGCATTTCCTTGCGAACAAAAATCCAACACAGCATCATAAAAGGCCGAAAATGAATACAGAAGAAATTCAATTGATCAATAAACTGTAATGTAAAACAACATGACAACGTGAGCTGAGGCCCCGAAGGCAACTTTGGCAGCCCACAGAAAGATTCCCTACGAGTTTCCACTGGAACTACTCTCACTAACTGGCCACCTTCTGAATGTGCATGGAACAAAGCTCCTACCTGAAAAAAACCCAAACTTTGTTCTAAACAATGCCAATGGACCATTGCTACTTGATGGAGCAATAGCAACCGCTACGTGATCCATCTGAAACTCCATCCCGCTTTCTACAGCTCCACTTGCACAGCCACTAGGATCGATTGATCCAATTTCACCAGCATCC